GCAAAACACACAACCTGACTGTCATAGAGAGAGGGGGGAGACATGGAGATAACACCACACATTTTCAGCAATCTTTTCTTAAAGGTATTCTGTTAGAATTGGTTGTACACACAAAAAACACTGCACTTACCAACACACTCCAACAGCTGTGTTCGGTGGACATGATTGGCAGTTTTAGAGAGTTACAGAAGTTTCCAAATGTGTGTTTAGGTGAGTGTGGTTATCTTGTACCACCCTGGCGTCATTTGCACATCATTTAATAAAGGTAAACACATTGGACGGGTCTGCATAATGAGGCGATATACCTTTGAGTGTCAGGACCAGAGACAGCAACCATCTGTTACTATAATTCTGCTGATTACAAAGCATTCTCACATTATTGGGATCTCATTCTCAACATATTTTGCAGGTTAAGTGGCCTTTGGTGTATCTTGACTAGAAGGTTGGCACCATATAACACGAACGTCAGCTAGTATCATGTCGCAGAAAGGTTTAGGCAACAAAATCACAAAAACATTGATCATACCCTTACCCAGGCCAGATATTTCCATCTTGGAAAAGAGAACAAGAGGGTTTATGTTCCTTCTTCCTGTCTGATAACCAGGAGCCAAAGGCTGTGCTTTAGTATGACTTAGAAAAACCTTCTCACCTGCATAACAAACTTCTTTTTTTTTACCAGCCAATACCTAAATACTGGAATGCTTCCACATTGTGCCGGGCTCTGCCTCAGCTGGAGCGGCTCCAAAGCCCTGAACCTATACATGACCCTCAGCCCAGAGAAAGAGCAAAACAGCAGCGACGTCATGGAGCCAGGAGAAACCTTACCTCGTGGTTGTGTGTTTGTGAAAATGGGCTTGAAGCTGACCGGATAAACCCCGGGTCCCTCAGGAGTGGACCCGAAGCCTCTATAAATCTACATCCACCCACCACCCTCCCCTTCTTCTTTTCTCCACAACAACCCCCTTCTATATACTGCACTCCACTCTTGAGTGCTTCTCTGTCTCTCCAGGCTTGATGGTAATGAAGTGCTTTATGGCTGCAGAGGACGTGAGGGGACGCAGGGGGCACGGGGTTAGCACATAGCTCATGTGGGGGGCACAGTGGCCAGCGATGACGGGGCTGATTGAGTAAATCTTGAAAAGCACACACCCTCCTCTTGAACACAGGCTCATACACATAGCCTGATCCAACACGAGGGTCCAAGGGGGCTTGGTGATCTCAGCAGGAGATCTCAGACAACCTCCACCTTTAATGGCGGCTCTATAAATGATTACCACATCAGTCAGGCTGAGCATGCAACACTTACCATCTGGGTTTCAGCAAAATCCTTAAACCTTGATCTCAACGAGGGTGTCGAGTTTGGAGGGGTTTCATTTTTCATTTGTTGTGTTTGGCTTAATTATCTGAAGCCCTTCGAGACTCTAACAGTTATTAAAGGCTACACAAATAGGCTTGACTCACCGCCCTCAAAGTCAGGGAAAACCTGTTTCCACCTTGTTAGTTAATTCTTCATGTCATATTGTTTGTCTTTAGAGAATTAAATGCCGAAAAATTCACAAAACCTTTGCCTTCTTGCATATTAATATTCAAAACTCACAGTATTACCTTCCTACTTAGCTGTAATTTACTTTTTCCTCTCAGGCCAACATTCTCAGGCCAACATAAAAGGCCAGTTTGTATTCCAAAAGGTATGATCAGTATGCTTTCATCACCTTTTCAAATGAAGCGTCATACAATGGTTGGTTGTTCTCTCCACCCCTTTGGTCCAAAGTGAAATATTTGGTATTTCTAAACTACTATCTGACAAATTGTTATTAACTTTTTGTACAGATGATCCTTAGAGGATGAATCCTACTGACTTTTGGGAAAGTGTGACTCTGGCACTGCCATGAGGCATGATGTTTGCGCTTTTTAGGAAAATGTCTTAACATCCTTGGACATATTGAGAGACCTTTACAAATCATTTGGGATCTTTAAATCACTTTTGAATGTTGCTACCTTGCCCTTTTATCCGGTTTAATTCAGGTACATTTGAAACTGAAAAAAGCAAGTCACAGTTTGCTTGTGATTTTAGACACCTGATGCCTTCTTAGTAGTCCAGTGCTGAAAGTGTTGCTCAGTGAATACAGGTGTTTCTCTTTATGTGATAAGTGTTTTGACCCACTACACGCCTGAGCCTCCGGCAACACCTTTCCATTCAGCAGCCGTCCCCCTGCCAAAGCTCGTAATGGCCAGACAGCTCTCTCCACGCCTCGGCCCTGCGCTCACACTCACGTGGGGAGGTCTCTGAAATGAAAATGCCATTATAAAACATTTACCAGCCTGCTGAGTTTACATGTCTTACAAGAAAAGGACCGTTTGGAGTGGTTAAGTGTCACATCAATCTTTCAGCACGCTAATTGAAGTGGTTCCCCCAATAGGCCACTTTCCACAGCTGCTATTACAAATCTGCGGATGGGACGGCCAGCTGCAAACCAAATCTTACACCCACTTGATAACGTTGTTAAGACACACACATGGTGCTCTGTGGGTTGCTACTGCTGCTGCTAGTTTGCTCAGACAGCTCCACTGGCAGAGTGCAACGTAGTCGTATGTAAACACAAGTCATCTTTCAGTGAAATATGCTCTGAAAGGTGGCACACAAGCGTTCTCCCCTCCTGGAAATACAACTTATTTAGAGCTTATTTAAGCAGGCATGTTGAACATATTGTTATTTCCAGCAGCAGCCTGGGGGAGTAGTTGCAGGAGGTGGCGGGGTTACACCTACAGTATGCAACAGCTCAAATCTGAAAGCCGGCGTGCTACAGCTAGCTGCCGAGCATCTCCACTAAAGCTTCTGAGGATTACTTTGAGCTTTATGCTACCGCGTTAGTTAACAGAGATCACCTTCCAGCTGATTGGAACGGGCCCAATTCTCTAATCTGCAGTCCGCTGCTGAAAGAGGAGCTTTACATCATATATCTGAGTTCAAAACTGGTCCGTTAAACTCTGGAGGGCTTTTTCATGGCTCAGCAATTACTGAGGCCTGAACTGTGACACTCAAACTTGATGTATTCCCCCTTCCACACCATACCCTCTCTGTCCTTCAAAAGCTTTCTGTTCCCTGCCCTACCTCTATGTATCCTACCTCCTTCCTACCGTTACATTGTTTTCCTCCCTGATTCCGTCTGTGTTTATCCTTTGCTCTCTCTTATCCTAAATGCAACACAACCTGTCGTTTTTTAATTTGGCTTTGACCTCGACTTCTACAACTTCTACAGTAGATCTTTATGGAGTGGTAATGCTGGCCTGATATAAGAAGACATTTGGTCATATTTTAAGGTCAAATTAGCCCTCTGATCGACAAGTGTGACCCAAATGGTCATGCAGTCTGAGGGGTTAAGAAACAAAGTTACAGCGATGGAAATTTGACAAGAAACCGGCAACATCAAATGGTTGGGAAGCGTACTTATTCCCAAGCCATGATGAAAGTAGAAAAACTGGATAAGCTTGTGGAATTATGGCAACATCAGGAGTGCTTGTTTAATGTCTTGTGCAATACGTCAATAAGTCTTTTTATGAGTTTTTATGAGATCCCAAGTCCCTAAAATGGCCACTATTTTTTTCCTGCAACTTGACTGAATCTTCTGATGTTTGCATTCTTACGATCAAGATATAGGAAAATCGTTGACTGGTTTCCCACCCTTTTAAATCTGTTCCAAATCCTTTTAACCCCTATTTGAATATCCTTGAGTGTTCACCAGATAAGGAGATTGTAACTCTGCGAAATTCATACATGCAACTAAAATGCACATTTCCATTAAATATGTTGCCCCATTTGGATGGAAACTGTCGAAATGACATTGAGACAATCAAAACAAACATCTGTCCACGTACGTCCTGAGCTGAGTCTCTGAACAGACGGCATGACCGCAGGTAGCTGCGACACAAAAACTGTACGCAGGTGTGAGAGCAGATCGAGGCCGCTTTGATGGCCCTTTTTTCCAGGTGACACTCTCTCTAATGTCTGAGTGGTCAACACCAGGGGGTCCCCCCTCTTTCCGCTGTTTGTGGGCCGTTCACAAAGTAATAACCGCACCCTGCTGTGCCCATCATGCCTCACTGCCAAAACCTCCTCGTCAACACCTGGCACCATGGTAACCAACACCTGTTCACCTAATTAGAGGGACACTGGAGGGAGAGGAGATGAAGAAGTTAATGAAACGCTAATCTGGTCCAATCAAACGCCCAGGCATCTGCCTTCTCAAAGCAGCAGCAGGTCTCCGTAATGGACGCCTTATGGGCGCCTCCCCCACCACGCCACCTTGATTGACCTCATCAATGACAAAACTATACTGAGAGGCTGCAAATAGTAGAGAGCAAACAGGGGGAATTGGGAGAGAAAGGGAAGTCGGCATGCAGCTTCCTGGATGGACAAAGTAGCCGGACGGCGAGGTGTCAGCCAAATGAACGAGCATTAAGAGACGAGGTTCCCGTGCACAGCAGTTGGAGCGGCTCCAGGTCGCACCAGCTGCGCTGCTCTTGTTTACAAGCCGCCACCTGCTGCCGGGTGCTCAGGTCTGCTTTCTGAAGAGTCGCTATGAGAGCCATGACCAGAGAAAAAGAGTCCTCTATGAAAACAGTTTTGACACTATCTGTGATGACAATTAAAGAAAAACAAAAGTATGGAAGCCCAGTAGAGACAAAAATAAGACTAAAACACATCCTATAAGTCATTATTATAATAAACTTTCTCAAAATAATGACTTAGCATCTTAAACACACAACATAGTATCTCAAAATAGCATGATGATGTCATTATTTTGAGAAATTATGTTATTATTTTGAGATACTAGATCAATATTTCGAGAACGTTTTTTCAAATGTTCATCACATCGGAGGAATTGTGCTTTGGAAAAATGTTTTGTGAGATACTAAAAGGTTTTGCATCTTGGCTGTTTGTCTAGTTCATGTCTTCTTGTATGAACTCAACTGAGCTGTGTTTCTGTTTCTCTCCACAGGAAACTTAAAAGGGATGTGTAAACAGATAGACCACTTTCCTGAGGAAACAGATTACCAAGCGGACACATCTGAGTACTTCTTACGTGAGTATTTTTGAGTATTCCCTATTTTCACACGCAGAAACCCTGTTCACAAATTAGATTGACAGTATTTTTCTGTTCAAGTGTTTAAACATTACGATAAATCACTTCAGGTTTTTCACCCCAATACAAGATATTTTGAATATTTTTTAAATCTGTCCCACTTTCCTTTGCTCTGTCTCAGACTGCAGCACAGTGCTAGTAGAACTGCCTTTGGCCCGTGTGTCATGGCTGTCTCTGCTTTCTCTTAGCACGAGCCGGCCAGGCTGAGTCCTGCCAAGCAGCTCGTCTGTTTTTACTGCTTGGCTGTGTGTAACATAACGTGCAGTGTTACAGTCGGCTGTGTACCCTGTAAACACAGCCCATTGATTTCTGCTCTCTTTCCCTTTGTGCAAGCAAGACAGAGATGCTTGTCGAGCTCATTTGCCTGCTAATCCTAAAAATCACAACAATGACTCTGAGCTTGTGATGTACTGTACACTATCGTTTGCTCATTACTCTCTTCTGATTGGCCAGTTAATGTGATCGAGACATTTAGACACAGTGTAGGAACGGCACGTTTCTATGGTTATAGCTCTGTTCCAGCAATGTGTAACTTTCAGTAATACAGATAATAATCAGGTACAAATACTTAAAATTGAGATTTATGTATTTGAAATAAATCTACTTTTACTTGAGCAACTCAACTTTTTTTTGGATAAATACTGAAATTCTTCAGCAGTCCTCTTGTCCTCTTTGTTGTGAGGACATATTTTTTGGCAATCAGCTTTGATAGCGAAACTTTTTGGAGAGCATTAGTCCACATTTGTTGGTGGATCATATCAATATGTCTACGTTTTCATGGACACATTTAAGATTGTAATATTTATTTTAAATTGCGTATTCCAGTCGTCACTCAAAGTCCCAGTATAATAAGTTGTTTAATGGGTTAACATTAATTGAGTAAAAATGGTGTATGTTTGTTTATTAACTGGCCCTTTGCCCCCTGTCATTTTGCAAAAATTACCCTGGGGAAGAGCAAGTATGCCGTCACTAAAGGCTTTATACTTTCTTTTTTTTTAGAACTTGCCAATACCTAAAATCTCAACTTGATGTATAAAATTGGTGAAGTCAATGGATTTCTTTATTAAATGTGATTATTTGCCACATTAGTTGCCAACTCCTTGCTGACCCCTGATGTGGGACACCCCTCCTCCTCATCCTCCTTCTCTGTTCCTCCCCCACCCTTCTCTAGCCTGCAGTGGTTTTAAACTAGAAGTCAAAAAGTGTCCGTCTCCTCGTCTCCATCAGCAGGGACAGTAATTGAGGCCTCTCAGAGAGCAGAGCAGTGCGTGACAGTGCTGGAGATTAAGCCCAGCCAATTAGGCTGTGTTTGACTTAGCGCTCTGAGCGGTTGTTCCCGTCCATATGTGCCAGAGAGGACGGTTATGATAACAGCTCTGGTAATGATTCTAACAATGCCAGAGCACTGGCTAAGGCAGATCTGTCTTTGTAAAGAGGTGTCTCTCAGCTGGGGATGACAAGGTCGTGGGGCAGAGGCCTCACTCGGGCCACAGACACTCGTTTGCATGCGTGTGTGTGTGAGTGTTAACCTCTTCACAGGCTGTGATTGGAGGAGAAGGCCGCAGTGCTCCCAGTGGCTTGCCAATTAGGACACTCACATCCATAAATATTTCAGCCTCCTTCTTATATAGGTCAGGCCTCTCTCGATCGCTGTCTCTCACACTCTGCCTCTCTTCACCCTCACACCCGGAATATTACATGACAGGAGTCATTTAGTTCCTCTCTCTGGATTGAAAGGGAGACTTGGCGATTCAGAGCGTTTTCAAAAAGGGTGCATAAAGATGTCACACAGGACATCTTGGTTGGTTCTGGATGTATTTTTTATATCTGCCAATTTCCCTTTCGTGGACACACACCTGGTATTTCCATAATGAGGAGTTTCACGGCGCCTCTGGGTGGCCAAAGACAGAAAAAAGCTGCCTCTGCTTTCACATGCAGAATTGGGAGAGCGGGGGATAGTTATGCAACAGGAATTATGTCATTTCAGGTGAAGGGCCCAGCGGAAGTGACGTCAATGGGGAACTCGCCGGTCAAAAAAATCGAGGGGACACACTGGTGATGTCATAATACAGCGTAGAGAGGGGGAGGGACATATTTGGTGCCGAGTGGAAATCACATAAATATGCTGTTAAACATGCTTCATCAAACACACACACTCTGATCTGCTGTCATTATGCTAACACACACACGCATCCACCACATATCAGTAGCTTCTGTGTGTGTGTGTGTGCGTGTGTGTGTGTGTGCGTGTGTGTGTGTGTGTGTGTGTGTGTGTGTGTGTGTGTGTGTGTGTGTGTGTGTGTGTGTGTGTGTGTGTGTGTGTGTGTGTGTGTGTGTGTGTGTGTGTGTGTGTGTGTGTGTTCCATGAGCTCTCCCAATAGCAAGGCAGTTTGCACATCCACACAGGGTTATATAAGCCAGCTGAGGCACACTAAAGCGCCAGTGGGTTTTTAGATCATGCCGTGTCGGAGCTCCCATCATCCACTGCTCTACTGGGTGCTAAGCAGCTGAGAGAGAAGAAAAAGGGAAAGAAAACGCCCTGTTACGCAAGCTACTAATGCTGAACGGAAAGACATCAATTCACTGTAATACAGAGAAGGAAATCATGTGAGGGGAGTAAGACGAGTTTGATGTGTCTGATATACCATGGAGGCATTGGAGTCAACAGTTTTGCTAGTTTATTATCTTCCAAAAATGTTTGTATGTAAATGCGGTGGCCTTTTTGTAGATTTCATAGACCAAACAATAACTTGAGAAAATAATACATCTAAATAAAATAAAATAATAAATGTGTTCTATAAAAGAATGTCACTTTGACATTTGATAAGCAGGAAACAGATGATATTTGGCATTTTTTCACAAATGTACTGAAATATGACTGATGTGATTAATCAAGTGTCCATATACATGACAATCATTTATCAGTAAATTGTGTAAGCCGTAAACAAAAAAATGTTGTGCAGCTTTCTTCCATAGTTTCACTGCTGAGTTATTCGATGCAACCTGTATTTATTTAGGCTGGTGTGGGGTTTCTTGCATCTGGCTGCAAAATGTTCTGCTGCTTCAGGCTGCGTATTTGCCTGGTGTCACATCACAAACCACAGTTTTGTTGTTGTTGTTGTTCACCCAGGCCTTTGGAAATAATCCCCTGACCCTTCAGCGTGTCCAATGTCAATACTAATACTCTTAAATATGCACGTTATAACGATGCAGTATCGGTGGCCATTTTTACCCCCTGAATTAGCTATCTTGTAAACCTTACTGGGTGTTTTTGCCCCTGAGCCTGCATTCATCTCTGCCTCTGGTGTTTGCATGCGTTCATCAGAGAGTACTGGCTGACATTGCTGACAAAAGGGCAGGCCTGTCACAGCCTGTGTCACCCCGAGGCCTCACGGCAGACTGGACGCTGGCCTGAACTGGCTTTGATGTCGCCCAATAAAATCAATGGGTCTAGCGCAGGACACGCAGGGCTATTGTATTGTAGGGCAGCGCAGGGGGTGGCAGTGACACCACTGCATGGTCTCTAGTACCAGTTTGTATACTTGAGTATGTGTGGCTTACCAGAGGGCTTTAAAAGTATCATTTTTTGGAAGTGGGGTTGTATGAGTTTCTTACCCATAGTCAGTGTATAACCGTACAGTTGATAGCAGTTGTCACGTCCACAGTTTGGAGAAGCAGACAGGAGTTACGGCACGTAGCATTGTACTGCTGTGAACAGGGGCAGAAGCAAAGTATATTATAGCCAAAGCAATTATCTATGCTCTCTTCAAAGCCACCAGACACCATTGACAAATACAGAAAACAGAACATGGGTGTTGCTGTTCTACTGCTGCCTCAATCAGTTCATTTTTTAGTTTGTCATGCACTATTGTGTGATTTTAAACAATAACACAAACTAGCAAACAGTTCTCTGTTGCAGGATGCAACTACCGTGTTCTGCTGGGTAAATTAAAACAATTAATTCCAAGGAAGACTCTGATAGATCTGCTAGTAGTGATGTTGGTGATAGCAGATAAAAAGCCAGATAACGACTTCAAAGGGGGATGTCTGGCAGTCAAATAAAGAGATTAAATATTCCAAATATACCATACAAATAAACTGAAATTACATGTTTTCGGTGGCAAGAATACATTTGGCTACTGCCCCCGTCCATAGCAGTACTTAGCTTCGATTTGGTGCTGACATTCCTTTCTCTTTCTCCTTACTGGGGATGTGCTGGCCATCTTCTACAGAAGGTTAAACACAGTGTATGGATGAGTATCTCATACAACCTCACTACAAACTAATTTGAACCATCCCTTTAATGTGATCACATGACCTGAGATGGGCTTGTCAGATGGATAATGTAATAATATCAGGCGAGGAAGTTAACATCCAGCTCGTGCCCCTGTGTTCCCAACGGCAGGTGTCCCAGTCGGTCGCAGTGTCATTGAACATCCAGTTCCTCGAGCGGTATCCAAGGCAACAAATAAGGAATCCATCGACTGATACATAAAACACACGTCACACAGACACGGGCCAATAAATTAAAAGCCAATCATTTTTGTCCTGGTTGACCGAGTGAGTGCTAGCACTCTAACTTTATATCTTATTAACGCGGAATATAGAGACGCCACAGCTTGTAAAAGGCAGAGGTGAGAGAGTGTGTCCTCATATTAAAGCGAGATCAGAATATACTATGTTGGGCTGTCACTGGGGCATCATCAAAAGACGGCTGCACCCTCTCAGATCCGCTTTACATGCACACATTTATTCAGCAGTGCTAACAGCCTGAACATTCCCAAAGCTGTGAGAGAAAGAGAAACATGTAATGCTTTTGTCCTGTTTAAAATATTCACACAATTATTGTAAAACATTTTAATATATATTTTGTAAGAACAGTGGTAATGTTGAAAGCCGGTAAAAAAGCCCATCCACATTCAATCAAAAGCATGAGTACC